AACGTTTTTGTAATTTTTCTAAATATTTAACCACTTTTTCTATACTTAATTTTTTTTTATAAAATGTATTCTAATTTTTAAAAACGTTTTTTTTATTTTTAAAAACGTTTTTGTTATTTTCAGTAATATATTATATATAATAAAACGTTTTTGTAATTTTTCTAATTATTTAACAACCTTTTCTAAATATTTAACAACTTTTTTTTTAAAAAAAGATTTGAAAAGAATTCTAATGTATTGTAATATTTTTTTTAGGTCCGAGGATGCACCCACCCATGCCGCATTGCTCCGTCGTCCCACATACCGTGGCGGCCGAGGTAGTTCGGTGAGCAGTTCCCGTGCATCGGGATCGTCTCACGAACAAAACTCGGTTCCCGGATATGCTCCCCCTCCGTATGTTCCCCCCCTCCATATGTTCCCCCCCCTCCATATGTTCCCCCCCCCTCCAGCTTATGAGCAGGATCCAGCGGTCATGTCAGTTGAACAATTGGTTCAACAACCAGGTCTAGAGTATCTCCCGGTTCTTCATCCCAACCCACAGCCGGGACGTACGACTTGGTCAGTATTTTTATTTTATTTGTAGAATTATGTTTTTTACATTAATTAACTTTCTAAACATGTATTTTTTTAAAGGTTTGACAAGTCGAGCAATGGCATTAGTAGGAGCATCAACAATATGATGTATTCCATGCTCCGTACCGGATATCCGAAGTGGAGTGTGATCCCTCACGAGGAACGGGAGTTGTGGTTTCGTCAGTTTGCGGTAACTCTTCAATTTTTTTAAAGCATTTTCAATTATTTTTATATATATTTACTTATAAAATTTTATGTGTTTTGTAGCAAGACTTCACTTGGGAGTCTGGTCTCACGGAAACAGTCCGTCAGAGATTCAACGAAAAGGCCATGGACTCTTATACGAAGCAGATCAACGCGTGGAAGACAGTATGGCAAAAGAACAAGAGGCCACGGTTCATCAACGGGACGGTATGGGAGCAGTTGATAGTCCATTTGGGGAAGGACGAGACTGCAACGACATCTCGCAAGAACTCCAAGAACCGGAAGAGCAATCGTGGCGGGCAAGGTATGTATGTGCACAACCTCGGCGCTTGCTCTATGTCTTCCAAGGAAGATCAACTTGTAAGTTCTATTCTTTTTATTTAACTTTTTTAATTTAATAAATATTTTTATATTATTCCTTGGCTAATGGTTGTTTTTTAGATTGAAGCAAATGATGGTAATCCCGTTGATCGTCTCACTCTCATTAAGGAGGCTCACACTAACAAGAACACGGGTCAAGTTCAAGACCCCGTGATCAGATCTGTCGTTGAGTTGGTGGAAACTCAAAAAGAAGCTCTTTTAGCTTCTCAGCCTCTCTCTGATGACGGCGATTCTACGGGAGCTTCAACCAACATGTTGCAGTTGCAAATCAATGATATGGTTGAAAAGGTAATTTTAATTAATATATTTATTTTATAATGTAGTTTACTTACTAACTTTAAATATTTTTGTAGGCGGTTCCTAAAAGGAAAGGAGGTCGTTTAGTTGGATTGGCTCGTCGTTCTTCTTCGGGTCCGGGGTCTTCTTCGCAAGCTTCGTATACCGATCCCATGATTCTGGAGCAACTACAGAACAAAGATGAACGGATTATGGCATTGGAGGAGCAGAACACCACTATCATTGCCGAGCTGGAATCCCAAAAGAAGACCAACGCTCAGATAATGGAAAAGCTAGAACGCTTGTTTCCTANATACCGATCCCATGATTCTGGAGCAACTACAGAACAAAGATGAACGGATTATGGCATTGGAGGAGCAGAACACCACTATCATTGCCGAGCTGGAATCCCAAAAGAAGACCAACGCTCAGATAATGGAAAAGCTAGAACGCTTGTTTCCTACTGAGTTTTAAAACTTTGTGTTTTTTAAACTTTATCAATGTTTTTTTTTCTATTTACGTTTGTATGAATTTATATTTTATAATATTATTAGTTTTAAATTTCAGATTTTGTTTATTTAGATTAATTTTAAATATAAAAAATATTTAAAATTAAAAAAAAAAATTACAAAAAATGGTATATTCCGACGACATTAGTTCGTCACAATATACCGACGAACGCAAGTCGTTGGAATATACTGACGACGCCAGTTCGTGGGTATATTGTGACGACTTGCGTTCGTCAGTATATTGTGACGAACTAATGTCATCGGAATATTGTGACGAACCAATGTCGTCGCTATATTGTGACGAACTCAGTTCGTCGGAGATAGTGATTCCTATGAATCCTGCCCTCGGAAGTTGTTATCGGAGTTTCGTCAAAAGTTCGTCGGAATATGGTTTCTCGGTGTTCGTCAGAAAGTCTTCGGATGGTCCGACGAAATTCCGACGAATTAGTTTTTTCCGACGAAATGATACCGACGAACCTGTTCGTCAGAATTTCGTCAAAATATGCCTATTCCGACGACTTTCTGACGATTTTGTCCGTCACTATCCGCCTGTTTTTTTGTAGTGAAATACTCCGGGGGCGGTCATTACACCGGCCTTGTACTAAAGCACTTGCACCGTGGTTTGAGGCTCTCAATGTCTTCTGTTGTTTTGTTCCCACCGTAATGCATTGAATGGGCTTCACATTGTAGTGCATATCGAACACAAAAAGTTTTCTCCGCATCCAGCCTCTTCTTGTCTGCAATGATCTCCTTGAGTTCTCTCCATTCTAGGTAGTGGTTAATGGCAGTCCCGGCTCAAGACTTCTATGGACCCCGTGCCATATATTAAAATTAATCTTTACAAATTGTTTAAAATAATGATAAAACAATTAAAAATTAAAACATTGACGTGTTAAAAGTTGTCGGCTGAACTTTATGGACCCTAATTTCTTCTTCTTTTCCAATGCCACGTATGTAACTCTGCATATTTTCATCAGTTCTGTATGTATATCTGTTGATAATGATATTTTTCAAAAAAAATTGGACCCTGAATCTTAAGGAAATTTAAGATCAAAATTATTAGGCCCTGTGCTTAAGCACTGCCAGCACACCCTAAAGCCGGTCCTGGTTATTGGTTTCATAAACTATGTTCATGTTAATTTTGTAGCCATTAGCTGACCAATGGCTAAATCATGTTTGTTATGTTTCTGTGATTCTGTCAGCAAACGTTGTTTTGTGAAAATAATCTTGAGAACTGATTGACTTTTCTGGTATGTTTGGTCACGTCTTTGATTTCTTGTTCATGTTTGGGTTTGATGGCCATTTTTCTTGCTGTTAAATGAAATCTCCAAGGTGTTTGTCAAATCCATAATCGGACAGTGGGGATATCATTATTAATAGTAGGGTTTATGGATTTATGATCCAGAAACAATTATTAATCGTACTTATAAACAACGCTATAAAATCACAAAAAGAAATGAGCATGCTTACATAGAGCAATCATCTAGTACTATTAGATTTAGATTGTGAAGCATATATTACTGTTTGCATAGCATACATGTAGAGTAGATAAACACACGATCCAGACATACATTTATTTAGTTTTTACATATAAAGTATACATGTATAAAATTGATACGATAACATATACATGCAAATATAGTTCTTGTTCAGCACCTAATCTCTTATATATTAAAAAGAGAAGCATTATAATAAATGCATTCACACTATAATTGACAAGTGTCGTTCCCACAATCATTTGGCAATAAATGCATTCACAAACTAATTTTTTAAATTCTTTATTTAATGTGTTTATACACTATTTTTTAATTAATTCATTTTTCCTATATTTTTAGCTTTTGTATTAATAAATTAAAACTTTATACGTAAAAACGAAGAATATCTTTATTGTAAGAAAATACAAAATCATTAAGATTCGCATCAACTAAAATGTTGCGATGAAAATATTTGTAGAAATTAAAATTTTCGTACCTTGCCGAAGTTGGTTTTCGGTACACAATAACAACAAATAAGGTGACTGATTATGAATTAAAGAAGCTGAGATGAAAAACACCACACGTAAAGTCGGATCTTTAGTTTAGTCAAATATTAAAATTTTTATAAAATTTTCATATCAGACTAAGAATTAAAAACAAAATCAAATTGGTAGAAAAAATCAGAAATCAGAAAAGCTTTAAAAAGAAATAAAAATCACAAAATCGATTAAAACAGAATTCAGGTACCAAGTGAAGATGTCATTTTATAATATATATTATTTTTATTATTTATGGGTACAATTTGATTTTCTTCATATGAAAAAATGTTATTAATTTTTAGGTTTGTTTTATTTTTACTTAATTTTATTTAAGAATTTACTATCATGTGTTATTTTGAACAAAAATGTTTTAAATCTTAATTAACGGTATATTCATATATTTATCATCACGTTTATATACTTTTACATATACATACATGTACATATTCACATGAGCGACTATATAACTAAATATTCACCACAAGTGAGAATTTTAATTCTTATTGAAGTTGAATTTTTTTTTTTTAATGTTTTCTTTCCCTATCGCTCAAATTGTAGTGAAATGTTTTTTCTTAATAATTTTATTTTCTTTTTTCAAATATTATTTAGATTTTATTTTATTTTACTTGTATTAAGAAATTATAATAAGAAACTATTAATTCGACATCATAAATGTCTAAAATTTATATAAAACGAAACCAAACAAATAACAATAGTTTTTGGTTATCATCGAAAAAATCAAAAACATCAAACATTTAAATCAAACAAACCAAAATAAATATAGATTTAGAATGATAATTATATTTTCAGATATTAAAAAAACAACGTAAAACTGAATCAATATTCATGCTAAACAGATACAATATTATTTTATCTTAAAAGTAACAAAAGTAATAATCTCATTCCGCGCAAGGCGCGGATTATTACCTAGTTTTATTATTAGAAACTACGACAGACGACAAACTGTTACCATATATAACAAGGTTCTTTGGGTATATAAGACAATATATTAAGGACAGTGTGCCATATACGGATCATAACATCTAGTGCTCCTTCTCCGGCGACCAGAGAAAAGCTCCGACGGCAAACTTCCTCTTCTCGTTGGAATCTCCGATGATCGGCAAGCCATACTCTCTCAAAAGCTGATCCAGTTGCCACTCTGGCATTTTCTCGTAATCACTCTTTGTATACTTTGGATAATGAAGTGGGATCTTGAAGTTGTTTAGCTGATTTTTACTCCTCGTGTCGTCACCGATCTTTGTCTTAATCTTCTGATCTTCAAAGTATTGGTGGTAATTACTGTCGTGGAAGGCGGAATTTGAATGATCACGGCTGAGTTTGATTCCCATTATATAGATATGAAATTAGATTTAACTCTTTAACAAGAACACTAGCTTTGGAGATTTTAATTAGGGTCTGAAGTTTCTTATTTGGAACTGGGAGTTACATTTATATAGGAAAAACATGTGGATGAATCATGAGGTGAAGAAGAAACGTCGTGGGATCTCGTTGAAGCACGCACGTACTAGTATTTTGATATTTTTCCTTATGTTGATTTTGTCTCTTTTATTTTTTTGTTACTATATATCCTTTTTATTCCCGATCTTCAACCACACTAAATGCAAACGAAATTTCAAACATCTTGCCAAACTAATAACCACTAAATACTCCATATAATAGTCGACGAATAGTATATCTTCGTCATCAGTAAAATTAACAAAAAACCTATAAACTTAAGTGTTTAATTATAATTGAGTACTATAAAGATTTATATAAATTCTAGTATGCACTATGTAACGATTAAAACACCACGACTCTTTTATACATATTTTCAATTTAACTTTGTTTATATGTACGGTTGTATTGGTAAGCCTCAAAGACGGGGTTTATTACCATTGTACGCCGAATTGGAAGGTTTGATTTGGACATTCATTGGAAAATGGTTTGAGGCGAATTGTTTAAAGATAGTTAAGATGACGCATTGAACCGGTAGACCAAACAATTTTATTTGAAAATGTCTAGTTAATCCTTGATTGTTACACATTCAATCTTGGAGGCTGCTTAAAACCCAGAAAAAAATGTTTGAGGCTGCTATATCATCACTTCACATATTAAATGCATCGATTGTTTTGTGTAGTTTGTAGATCACATTAATTGGCTTTCTTGATTTTTTCGCTAGTTTTCGTTTTCACATAACAGAAGTGAATTGAATGTTGTATTTTCCTAGGAGTTATTTTTTGTGTTCACCCCTAGGATGAAATTCTAGATTAACCATGAACAATACTTGGGTTCACTCTCGAGGTGAATGGTTAAATTCACCTCACATTTTATAGCCAATAGAATTGCCTAGTCAAATTATCTAAAAACGGAAATATATTAAATTAAAAGAAAAAACAGTTAGAAAAATTACTGTATGAAAACTCTAATCCCTAAACCATAAACTCTAATTCTAAAAGCTAAACCCTAAATTCTAAAACCTAAACATTAAACCCTTGATTCTAAACCCTAAACCTTAAACCTAAATTCTAGACTTTAAACCATAGATCATAAACCATAAACCCTAAACCAAAAATCATAAATTCTAAACCCTAAATCCTAAATTCTAAACCCAAAACTCAAAACCCTAGATCCTAAACCCTAAACCCTAAACCCTAAACCCAAAAATCTAAACCCCTAAATCCTAGATCCTAAACTCTAAACCTTAAACCCTAGATCGTAAACCTTAAACCCTAAATTCTTATTCTTAAACCAAAACTCTAAATCACAAAACCCTAAAATCTTTGGGTTTAAGATTTAGGGTTTAAGAATTAAGATTTAGGGTTATGGTTTGGTGTTTAGGGTTTAGAGTTTTGGATTTAGGGTTAGGATCTAGGGTTTAGGGTTTAGGATCTAGGGTTTAGAGTTTAGAGTTTATGAACTATGGTTTAGAGTCTTGAATTCAGGTTTAAGGTTTAGAATTTAGGGTTTAGAATCAAAGGGAGTTTAGGTTTTAGAGTTTAGGTTTTAGAATTTGGGATTTAGAATTTAGAGTTTATGGTTTAGGGGGTTAGAGTTTTTCATAGGGTAATTTTTCTAACTGTCTTTTTTTTTAAATTTAATATATTTCTTTTTTAAATAATCTGACAAATCAATTTGATTGGCTATAAGAGGTGAGGTGAATTTAACCATTCATCTCAGGGGTGAACCCAAGTATTGTTCGTTCACCATCCAATAGAATTGCATTATTTCATATTTGATATTTTTTAAAAAAGAAAATAAAATTTTGTTAAGTTATATTATGTTTTTAAAAATAAAAATACAAAAATGAATAAAACATAATAATAATTAATAAAAACAAAAACTAATTTTTTTAAAGAAAATATTTTAATACTCAACCCTAAACTCTAATCCTAAACCCTAAAACCCTAGCTAAATCATTAACCTTTGGATAAATTTTATAAAAAAAATATTTTAACACTAAAACACTAAACCTTAATCTCTAATACTAAACCCTTGGATAAATCATAAACATTAAACCCTAAATTCTAATCCTAAACCCTGAACCCTTGGGTAAATTATAAACACTAAATTTTTAAAACACTATAAGATTTATTCAAAGATTTATGATTTATCCAGGGGTTTAGGGTTTAAGATTATAGTTTAGGGTTTAGTGTTACAATATTTTCTTTAAAAAAGTTTATTTTCTTTTTTTATTAATTATTAGTATTTTTATTTATTTTTGTATTTTTATTTTTAAAAACATAATATAACTTAATAAGATTTTATTTCCTTTTTAAAAAGATATCAAATATGAAATAATGCAATCCTATTGGATGATTCACCCTAGGAGGTGAACCCAAGAATAAGTTTTTTCCTAGTAACTGTGAGATTGCGATTGAGTTGTATTGAAGGAGCAATTGTTAATTTTTTTCAAAAAGAAGCTAAAATGAAATTTAAAATATGCTTTCAAATGGTTGTTCATTTTTTTCAGTTTATATTGCAGTTTACAAGTTAATGGTACGCTTTGAATGGAAATTCTCTTGTAAAATTATGTATTTTTTAACAGCTCAGAGTTTCAGGCTGTAACAACAAATTGCATTAAAATTTGAGTTTTGTTCTGGATGTATCGATGGTGACAAATTGGTTATAATAATGAGGAAGGGGACCCATTCTTGATTCTTTGTAACCATCGAAATCTTTCTAGTTGCATGCATGTCGATGACTGCTATACCTTCTTTTTAATGTTTACAAGTGCCCTCTATGGCTCTATCCTTACGGATTTGCATTAGCAATCAATATGTGTAATTTATGTAGAGCCAGTGGACAGACTCGTGGTGACACTGTCACATTAAGTTTTGATCGGGAAGCAAAAACTTGGAAGTTCCAACTAATATATATTAGTTCATCTCAATCTTCGTATCAACAACACAAATTTTCATTATTATTTCGTTAACCAAGTAAAAAAGAGAGATATGCTGAATCTATTGAGATAAACAAAATCGATTGTGGGCTATTTCAAAATGTTTTTTATTGATCGACAAAAGATATTACAATGTTGTATGATAAAATTGTTGACATGAAGACATTCTTGACTAAGAAAAACAAGGCTGTTGACATGAAGCATAATTTAGTAAAAAACTTATAAGGTTTTATAAGGTCTTATAAAGATTGCCATCTATGACAGGTCGCTACCTCTCTCAGTGCTTAAAGAGAGATATGTACTTTCAAGGGTGTTATCACCTATGGCAAGTTGCTACCTCTCTCAGTATCTAAGAAAAGACGGGTACCTTTAAGAGCGTTGCCACCTATGGCAGGTTTCTACCACTCTCGTAGGCAATTCTCAAAGTGTTCAGATCTTATTTTATTTTGAATTTATAGATCTGAGATGAAATTCCTATATAGTTGTTGTATTGTACTGATATTGAAGCTAAGGAAATATAATTCCTCTTATCATTCTCTCTCTCTCACAGATACTCGCATTTCTCTCTCTTGTTCTTGAGTTCCTGAACAACAAATCTCTTCTTATACTCTCCTAATCTCCTAATCTTTTCATGGTATCAGTGCGATAAGCTATTGAAACCTATTTTTTCTTCCGCAAACTCTGTTTACTTTCTCTGTTTCTCTTGCTTTGTTTCAAATCTCTCTCTAGCAATAGGCGAGCAAGGGAAGATGGAGAAAAACAACAAATCTGTCAATATAACTGTGATCCTAAAGGAGATGAACTACCTCCTATGGACCAGGCTCGTGAAAACAGCCCTTGGAAGAAGAGGCTTATGGATTCATGTATCAACTGAAGCGGCTCCAAAGCAAACCGTCCAAGGAGAAGGTGAAAAAGAGATGGTGGTGGCTGATGAAGACAAGTGGAACCAGGAGGATCTCATGGTACTTTCAGTCATTCAAACATCTCTAGATCCGGCCATATTGGAGGCATACTCGTATTCTGAGACCACCAAAGAGCTTTGGGACACTCTCTACAAGGTTTATGGTAATGTTTCAAACCTCACCCATGTCTTTGAAGTGAAGAGGGCTATTAACGCACTTAGCCAGGGAGATATGGACTTTCAGTCTCACTTTGGCAAGTTTAAGTCTCTTTGGGCTGAACTTGAGTTGCTTAGGCCACACACAGTTGATCCTTTAACCCTAAGTGCTAGGCGTGAAGAGGATAAAGTCTTTGGACTATTGCTTACTCTCAACTCGTCATACAATGGCCTTGTCAAGCATATTCTAAGAGCTGACAAATTACCAACTCTAGATGATGTGTGTGCTCAAATTAAAAAGGAGGAAGGCTCAATTGGGCTGTTTGGGAGCAAAGGAGAGCCGGTGGTGATTAACCAAGCTGAAGCCGTGGCAAACAAGGGTGTATACAAGCCAGATGACAAGAAGTCTTTGGTATGTGACCATTGCACGAACAAAGGTCATCTTAAGGACAAATGCTGGATTCTTCATCCCCATCTGAAACCAAACAAGTTCAGGGAGCCTCGCTCACAATACATGGATGCTAGAGCTCAGTTCTCAAACGATGGAGGTGAACCAGCTACTCCAAGCTCAGCCGGATCAAATGCTGGCATGAGAGGAGCTTCAGCCTTCTCCACGGCCAGGAGCCATCCAGATGAGACTATCAAACGTTCAGACCTAGAGGCTCTCATCAAAGCCTTGAAGGAAAACTCTGGTAACCCTAGAACCCTTGGTATATCATTAAGTGCTTATCATCTTGCTGGTAGTTCTATGAGTGCAAAGATAAATGATCTAAAATCTGCTAGACCATTGGTTATAGAGTACTTTGGTGCTTCTCACCATATGATCAGTGATTTAAAATTTATTAAAGACATAGAACCAGCCTTAGGACAAGTAATGATAGCTAATGGAGATA